GGGGTGGGGCCCATGCCCAGATGGGGTCCACCCGCCCCCCCTCTGGGCCAGTCCCCCGCCCTCCGCCATTGCCCCTGAATGTCCGCGCCCCCGCCTCCGTACGCGCCGCCCGCGCCGTACAGGCCGCCCGCGCCGTACATGCCGCTGGCGCCGTACGCGCGGCCCGAGCCGTACGCGCCGCCGAGGCCGCCCGCGCCTCCACCGAGGCCCCCGCCGTAACCGTAGCGGAACGACATGGCGCCGCGGGCGCGGAGGCGCTGCTGCAGAGAAGGAGGGTCCCTGGGGAAGGCTGGGGCCAAGATGGCAGGAACAGCCAGCACCGACTCGCCAGGATGCACGGCAACGCCGCGCAGGCATCAGGATCGAGGTGGACCCTGCGCTGCCTTCCCCCCGCGACTCGCCCCACCGAGAGCCCGCACGCCCCCTGCCCGCGGGGAGGGGATGAACTGCCACCCCAGAGATCCGAGGCTCTGACATTCTCAAAAACACGGGGCCCCCAGAAGTCCCGACCCTTTCACCCTGGGCCGGCTTTGGATCCTGAGTCGTCTTGTGGACGGTCCCGGGGGGCTCGGTGAGGGCCCCCGCGGCCAGCTCCAGAGCGCTCCAGAGCTCTCGGGCCAGACCAGCGCGAAGGGGAGGATGGGGGGCCGGATGGGGGAGGGGGCCAGGGGATCTCAGGGAGGAGGGAGGGATCGGGTCGGGCAGAGCTGGGGGGAGCCAGCTCAGCTCACGTACGTGTGCGCAATGTTCAAATAGATATATATGTGAATATCAGCATATATATATATGCATATATAAATATAAATATATACATATATGTATACATATATATACACATATATACATGCATGCATGCCTGCATGCCTGACTGCATGAATGTATACATACACACCCATACACACATACACACATGCATACATACATACATACATACATACATACATGCATGCATACATACATACACACATACATACATACATACATATATACATATACATACAGGCATGCATACAGACATGCATGCATATATACATACATACCTACCTACATACATACATACATACATACATACATGCAGACATACATTCATAATTTATACATACATACATACATACATACATATATACATACATACATACATACATACATACATACATACATACAGACAGACAGACAGACAGACAGACAGACAGACAGACAGACAGACAGACAGACAGACACACAATACAGACAGACAGACAGAGAGACAGACAGACAGACACACAGACAGACAGACATACATGCATACATGCATGCATGCATACATACATACATAGATGCACACTTGTTTGTAGACATTTGTAAATGTTGATATATATATATATATATATATGTACATTCATGTGTATACCTATATATATATATATACCTGTGTGCATGGCCATTGTTGCTGTTCCTGGCGCTGGAGACTCCCATGCATCGAGCTCGAGGAACCTGACGTCTCCTCCGCAGGGGAGCTGCGGGGAGCGGCAACGGGAGCCGCGCGCGGGCGCGTGTAGCTTTGCCTCCACGCCCGGCGGGCTCTGGCCGCGACCAGCCCCCCTTCGACAACGACAGAAACAGAAACGGGGGCAGCCGCTCGAGAGGCGAGAGCTGCGGGCGGCCCACCCGCATCAAGCCCGAACGGCGGAGCCGCGCGGGCGGGCTCCTCACTCCGGCTCCTCGCCCTTGCAGCCCTTGTGCTGGTTCTTGCAGCAGTAGGCGATCTTCCCCGGGGACCACGACAGCTCCAGGCAGTGCATGCAGTGGTGGTAGCCCGCGTCGCAGTCGTACTCGCTCTTGTCCTCCTCGGGGGGCGCGTCGCCCTGCGGGAGGCCCGAGGGCGGGGGCAGCTCCGAGGGGCAGCCCTTGTTGGCGGTCTTGCAGCAGTAGATCTTCTTCTCGCCAGACCAGCCGCGCACCCACTGCAGCGGGTCGAGGTCGTTGTAGCCGGCGTTGCAGTCGATCGGGCACGGGGACGTGGTGCTCATCGCCGTTGTCACCACCGGCGCGACCGGCGCGACGGGCACGACCGGCGCCGGCATGGTGCTGGGCGCAGCCGGCGTCGTCGGGCAGCCCTTGCCCTCGTGCAGGCAGCAGTACACCTTCTTGGGCACATCCCAAGACACGACGTCGCCCTCGCCGCAGTTGATCTTCTTCTCCTGGAGGCCTCCAAAATCGGGTCCGAGCAGATGGGGTCCGAGGATCGCGCCGCATCGCCAGTGCATCACCGATGCATCGCCGATGCATGCATCGGCATCGACGCATCGGCGCCGTCGGCATAGAGAAGTCTGGCCCGACGTCGAGGCGCATCGCCGATGCATTGGCGATGCGGCGCGATTCTCCGATCCCATTCACTCGGACCCCACTTGGGAGGCCCGGATCTCCGTGGTCGTGGGCGGCGGGGGCGGCGGGGGCGGGGGGGGCGGCGGCGGGGGCGGGGGCGGCGGGGGCGGGGGCGGGGGCGCAGCCGTCGTGGCCTTCGTGGTGGTGGTCTTCGCGGTGGTGGTGTCCGGCGGCGGAGTGGTCGTGATGATCACCGGGGTGGTGGTCGTCGTCGTGGTGGTCGTCGTCGAGCCCGGCGCCATCGCGAAGAGCAGGAGGGGCAGCAGGAGGAGCGACAGCCCCAGGGGCACGAGGCAGATCAGGCAGCAGTTCGGGCCGCGCCCAGGGATGCGGACCGCCCCGAACTCGCCCGCGCCCATGCCCACGTACTTGTACGTGGTCTCCTGGACGTAGTCGCCCCCTGGGCCCACGTAGCTCAGGATCGTGCCGCCGCCGCCGCCGCAGCCTGAGCCCTCAGCGCACGCCGCGCCGGCGCCGGGGCCGCAGCCCATGCAGGAGGTGGTGGTCGCGCAGCACGCCGTGCCGCAGTCCTGTCAGGGGGCGAGGCGGGGGGGGGCAACTGGCACGGGGGGGGGCGGCACAATGACCTGGGATCGGCGATGCATGGCCGATCCAGGTCGGCAAAGCCGCGCCTTCTGGGGTGGGGCGGGGCCCAGTGGACCCCCCCTCTGGGCCAGTCCCCCGCCCTCCGCCATTGCCCCTGAATGTCCGCGCCCCCGCCTCCGTACGCGCCGCCCGCGCCGTACAGGCCGCCCGCGCCGTACATGCCGCTGGCGCCGTACGCGCGGCCCGAGCCGTACGCGCCGCCGAGGCCGCCCGCGCCTCCACCGAGGCCCCCGCCGTAACCGTAGCGGAACGACATGGCGCCGCGGGCGCGGAGGCGCTGCTGCAGAGAAGGAGGGTCCCTGGGGAAGGCTGGGGCCAAGATGGCAGGAACAGCCAGCACCGACTCGCCAGGATGCACGGCAACGCCGCGCGGGCATCAGCATCGAGGTGGACCCTGCGCTGCCTTCCCCCCCCGCCCCACCGAGAGCCCGCACGCCCCCTGCCCGCGGGGAGGGGACGAACTGCCACCCCAGAGATCCGAGGCTCTGACATTCTCAAAAACATGGGGCCCCCAGAAGTCCCGACCCTTTCCCCGTTCACCCTGGGCCGGCTTTGGATCCTGATTCGTCTTGTGGACGGTCCCGGGGGGCTCGGTGAGGGCCCCCGCGGCCAGCTCCAGAGCGCTCCAGAGCTCTCGGGCCAGACCAGCGCGAAGGGGAGGATGGGGGGCCGGATGGGGGAGGGGGCCAGGGGATCTCAGGGAGGAGGGAGGGATCGGGTCGGGCAGAGCTGGGGGGAGCCAGCTCAGCTCACGTACGTGTGCGCAATGTTCAAATAGATATATAATGTGAATATCAGCATATATATATATATATATATATTTATAATATGTATACATATAAATATGTATACATGCATGCATGCCTGCATGCCTGCCTGCATGAATGTATACATACACACCCATACACATACACACATACACACATGCATGCATACATACATATACACATGCAGACATGCATGCAGACATGCATGCATGCATGCATACATACATACATGCATACATACATACATACATACATACATACATACATATATATATATACATACATGCATACACACACGCGCATACATACATGCATACACGCATACATACATACCTACATACATACATACATACATACAAATATACATTACATACATACATTACATGCATACATACATACATACATACACACACATATATACATACATACATACATACATACATACATACATACATACATACATACATACATACATACATACATACATACATGCATACACACATACATGCATACATACATACACATATACATACATACATACATACATACATACATACACACACATACGTACATACCTGTATGCATACATGCATACAAGCATACATAGCTACATAAATCCAAACATACATACATGCATACATGCATGTATACATACATGCATACATACATATATGCATACATACATACATGCGTGGGTGCGTGCGTACGTGCGTGCATGCATGCATGCATACATACATATAGACATCCATGCATGCATTTATACATACATACATACATGCATACATACATACATACATACATACATACATACATACATACATACACACACAGAGAGACAGACAGACAGACAGACACACAGACAGACACCCATACAGACAGACAGACAGAGAGACAGACAGACAGACAGACAGACACACAGACAGACAGACATACATACATACATGCATGCATGCATGCATACATACATACATAGATGCACATTTGTTTGTAGATATTTGTAAATGTCGATATATATATATATATGTACATTCATGTGTAGACATATATATATATATACATATATATGTATATATATATATGTATATATATATATATATGTATACCTGTGTGCATGGCCATTGTTGCTGTTCCTGGCGCTGGAGACTCCCATGCATCGAGCTCGAGGAACCTGACGTCTCCTCCGCAGGGGAGCGGCGGGAAGCGGCAACGGGAGCCGCGCGCGGGCGCGTGTAGCTTTGCCTCCACGCCCGGCGGGCTCTGGCCGCGACCAGCCCCCCTCGACAACGACAGAAACAGAAACGGGGGCAGCCGCTCGAGAGGCGAGAGCTGCGGGCGGCCCACCCGCATCAAGCCCGAACGGCGGAGCCGCGCGGGCGGGCTCCTCACTCCGGCTCCTCGCCCTTGCAGCCCTTGTGCTGGTTCTTGCAGCAGTAGGCGATCTTCCCCGGGGACCACGACAGCTCCAGGCAGTGCATGCAGTGGTGGTAGCCCGCGTCGCAGTCGTACTCGCTCTTGTCCTCCTCGGGGGGCGCGTCGCCCTGCGGGAGGCCCGAGGGCGGGGGCAGCTCCGAGGGGCAGCCCTTGTTGGCGGTCTTGCAGCAGTAGATCTTCTTCTCGCCAGACCAGCCACGCACCCACTGCAGCGGGTCGAGGTCGTTGTAGCCGGCGTTGCAGTCGATCGGGCACGGGGACGTGGTGCTCATCGCGGTTGTCACCACAGGCGCGACCGGCGCGACGGGCACGACCGGCGCCGGCATGGTGCTGGGCGCAGCCGGCGTCGTCGGGCAGCCCTTGCCCTCGTGCAGGCAACAGTACACCTTCTTGGGCACATCCCAAGACACGACGTCGCCCTCGCCGCAGTTGATCTTCTTCTCCTGGAGGCCTCCAAAATCGGGTCCGAGTAGATGGGGTCCGAGGATCGAGCCGCATCGCCAGTGCATCGCCAGTGCATCGCAGATGCATCGCCGATGCATCGGCGACGTCGGCGATCGGCACCGTCCGCGTAGAGAAAGTCTGGCCCGACGTCGAGGCGTATCGCCGATGCATCGGCGATGCGGCGCGATTCTCCGATCCCATTCACTCGGACCCCACTTGGGAGGCCCGGATCTCCGTGGTCGTGGGCGGCGGGGGCGGCGGGGGCGGGGGGGGCGGCGGCGGGGGCGGGGGCGGCGGGGGCGGGGGCGGGGGCGCAGCCGTCGTGGCCTTCGTGGTGGTGGTCTTCGCGGTGGTGGTGTCCGGCGGCGGAGTGGTCGTGATGATCACCGGGGTGGTGGTCGTCGTCGTGGTGGTCGTCGTCGAGCCCGGCGCCATCGCGAAGAGCAGGAGGGGCAGCAGGAGGAGCGACAGCCCCAGGGGCACGAGGCAGATCAGGCAGCAGTTCGGGCCGCGCCCAGGGATGCGGACCGCCCCGAACTCGCCCGCGCCCATGCCCACGTACTTGTACGTGGTCTCCTGGACGTAGTCGCCCCCCGGGCCCACGTAGCTCAGGATCGTGCCGCCGCCGCCGCCGCAGCCCGAGCCCTCAGCGCACGCCGCGCCGGCGCCGGGGCCGCAGCCCATGCAGGAGGTGGTGGTCGCGCAGCACGCCGTGCCGCAGTCCTGTCAGGGGGCGAGGCGGGGGGGGGGCAACTGGCACGGGGGGGGGCGGCGATCGGCGATGCATGGCCGGCAGGTCGGCAAAGCTGCGCCTTCTGGGGTGGGGCGGGGCCCATGCCCAGATGGGGTCCACTGGCCCCCCCTCTGGGCCAGTCCCCCGCCCTCCGCCGTTGCCCCTGAATGTCCGCGCCCCCGCCTCCGTACGCGCCGCCCGCGCCGTACAGGCCGCCCGCGCCGTACATGCCGCTGGCGCCGTACGCGCGGCCCGAGCCGTACGCGCCGCCGAGGCCGCCCGCGCCTCCACCGAGGCCCCCGCCGTAACCGTAGCGGAACGACATGGCGCCGCGGGCGCGGAGGCGCTGCTGCAGAAAAGGAGGGTCCCTGGGGAAGGCTGGGGCCAAGATGGCAGGAACAGCCAGCACCGACTCGCCAGGATGTACGGCAACGCCGCGCAGGCATCAGGATCGAGGTGGACCCTGCGCTGCCTTCCCCCCCCGCCCCACCGAGAGCCCGCACGCCCCCTGCCCGCGGGGAGGGGACGAACTGCCACCCCAGAGATCCGAGGCTCTGACATTCTCAAAGACACGGGGCCCCCAGAAGTCCCGACCCTTTCCCCGTTCACCCTGGGCCGGCTTTGGATCCTGAGTCGTCTTGTGGACGGTCCCGGGGGGCTCGGTGAGGGCCCCCGCGGCGCTCCAGAGCGCTCCAGAGCTCTCGGGCCAGACCAGCGCGAAGGGGAGGATGGGGGGCCGGATGGGGGAGGGGGCCAGGGGATCTCAGGGGGCCGGATGGAGGAGGGAGGGATCGGGTCGGGCAGAGCTGGGGGGAGCCAGCTCAGCTCACGCACGTGTGCGCAATTTTCATATACATATATATATATATAAAAATATGTTTGTGTACACATGCATGCATGCCTGCATGCATGCCTGCATGCATGTATACATACACACCCATACACACATACACACAGACATACATATATACCTGCCTACATACATACATATATACATACATACACACATACATACATACATATATACATACATACATACATACATACATACCTACAGACATACATACATACATACATGCATGCATGCATGTATGCGTGCGTACGTACGTACGTACGTACATACCTTTGTGCGTACATACATACAAACATGTATAGTTACATACATCCATACATACATGCATGCATGCATGAATACATACATAAATACATACATGCATGCATATATACATACATACATACATGCGTGCGTGCGTGCGTGCGTGCGTGCGTGCATGCATGCATGCATGCATGCATACATACACACAGACATCCATGCATGCATGCATGCATACATACATACATACGTACATTCATACATACAGACAGACAGACAGACAGACAGGCAGACAGACAGACAGACATGCATGCATGCATGCATGCATACATACATACACACATACATACATACATGCATACATGCAGGCAGGCTGGCAGCCAGGCAGGCAGACATACATACATACATGCACACGTGTGTGTAGACACTTGTATAGTTTGATATATGTATGTGTATATATATACATACATGTGTATATATATATATATATATATACATATATGTATGTACATATATATGTACATGTATAGATGCGTATGTGTATCTATATATATGTGTATTTATATACCTGTGTGCATGGCCATTGTTGCTGTTCCTGGCGCTGGCGACTCCCATGCATCGAGCTCGAGGAACCTGACGTCTCCTCCGCAGGGGAGCGGCGGGGAGCGGCAACGGGAGCCGCGCGCGGGCGCGTGTAGCTTTGCCTCCACGCCCGGCGGGCTCTGGCCGCGACCAGCCCCCCTTCGACAACGACAGAAACAGAAACGGGGGCAGCCGCTCGAGAGGCGAGAGCTGCGGGCGGCCCACCCGCATCAAGCCCGAACGGCGGAGCCGCGCGGGCGGGCTCCTCACTCCGGCTCCTCGCCCTTGCAGCCCTTGTGCTGGTTCTTGCAGCAGTAGGCGATCTTCCCCGGGGACCACGACAGCTCCAGGCAGTGCATGCAGTGGTGGTAGCCCGCGTCGCAGTCGTACTCGCTCTTGTCCTCCTCGGGGGGCGCGTCGCCCTGCGGGAGGCCCGAGGGCGGGGGCAGCTCCGAGGGGCAGCCCTTGTTGGCGGTCTTGCAGCAGTAGATCTTCTTCTCGCCAGACCAGCCGCGCACCCACTGCAGCGGGTCGAGGTCGTTGTAGCCGGCGTTGCAGTCGATCGGGCACGGGGACGTGGTGCTCATCGCCGTTGTCACCACTGGCGCGACCGGCGCGACGGGCACGACCGGCGCCGGCATGGTGCTGGGCGCAGCCGGTGTCGTCGGGCAGCCCTTGCCCTCGTGCAGGCAGCAGTACACCTTCTTGGGCACATCCCAAGACACGACGTCGCCCTCGCCGCAGTTGATCTTCTTCTCCTGGCGGCCTCCAAAATCGGGTCCGAGTAGATGGGGTCCGAGGATCGCGCCGCATCGCCAGTGCATCGCCGATGCATCGCCGATGCATCGCCGATGCATCGCCGATGCATCGCCGACGCATCGGCGCCGTCGGCGTAGAGAAAGTCTGGCCCGACGTCGAGGCGTATCGCCGATGCATCGGCGATGCGGCGCGATTCTCCGATCCCATTCACTCGGACCCCACTTGGGAGGCCCGGATCTCCGTGGTCGTGGGCGGCGGGGGCGGCGGGGGCGGGGGGGGCGGCGGCGGGGGCGGGGGCGGCGGGGGCGGGGGCGGGGGCGCAGCCGTCGTGGCCTTCGTGGTGGTGGTCTTCGCGGTGGTGGTGTCAGGCGGCGGAGTGGTCGTGATGATCACCGGGGTGGTGGTCGTCGTCGTCGTGGTCGTCGTCGAGCCCGGCGCCATCGCGAAGAGCAGGAGGGGCAGCAGGAGGAGCGACAGCCCCAAGGGCACGAGGCAGATCAGGCAGCAGTTCGGGCCGCGCCCAGGGATGCGGACCGCCCCGAACTCGCCCGCGCCCATGCCCACGTACTTGTACGTGGTCTCCTGGACGTAGTCGCCCCCCGGGCCCACGTAGCTCAGGATCGTGCCGCCGCCGCCGCCGCAGCCCGAGCCCTCAGCGCACGCCGCGCCGGCGCCGGGGCCGCAGCCCATGCAGGAGGTGGTGGTCGCGCAGCACGCCGTGCCGCAGTCCTGTCAGGGGGCGAAGGGGAGGGGGTGGGAACTGGCACGGGGGGGGGGCGGCACAATGACCTGGGATCGGCGATGCATGGCCGGCAGGTCGGCAAAGCCGCGCCTTCTGGGGTGGGGTGGGGCCCATGCCCAGATGGGGTCCACCCGCCCCCCCTCTGGGTCAGTCCCCCGCCCTCCGCCGTTGCCCCTGAATGTCCGCGCCCCCGCCTCCGTACGCGCCGCCCGCGCCGTACAGGCCGCCCGCGCCGTACATGCCGCTGGCGCCGTACGCGCGGCCCGAGCCGTACGCGCCGCCGAGGCCGCCCGCGCCTCCACCGAGGCCCCCGCCGTAACCGTAGCGGAACGACATGGCGCCGCGGGCGCGGAGGCGCTGCTGCAGAGAAGGAGGGTCCCTGGGGAAGGCTGGGGCCAAGATGGCAGGAACAGCCAGCACCGCCTCGCCAGGATGCTCGGCAACGCCGCGCAGGCATCAGGATCGAGGTGGACCCTGCGCTGCCTTCCCCCCCCGGCCCACCGAGAGCCCGCACGCCCCCTGCCCGCGGGGAGGGGACGAACTGCCACCCCAGAGATCCGAGGCACCGACATTCTCGAAACACGGGGCCCCCAGAAGTCCCGACCCTTTCCCCGTTCACCCTGGGCCGGCTTTGGATCCTGAGTCGTCTTTGTGGACGGTCCCAGAGGGCCCAGCGAGGGCCCCCGCGGCGGGCTCCAGAGCGCTCCAGAGCTCTCGGGCCGGACCAGCGCGAAGGGGGAGGAAGGGGGGCTAGATGGGGGAGGGGGCCAGGGGATCTCAGGGAGGAGGGAGGGATCGGGTCGGGCAGAGCTGGGGGGGGCAGCTCAGCTCACGTGCATGAGCGCAATCTCTCTCTCTCTCTCTTTCTCTCTCTCTCTCTCTCTCTCTATATATATATATATATATTATACTAGAACCACGCGCGCTTCGCGCGCGCTTGGGTTTTAACCGCGCCCAAGGAGCTCGCATCGCGAGTTTCCAATGAGGCATGAATAGGCGTTTCTGGCACTTCTTTGCTGGCGGTAATGGGACCTGCGGCAATTCAATTTGGGGATCCCTGCGACGTGTAGGGGAGTCGCGAGGGCTTCTTCTACGCATCTTGCGCTTCTCTCGATCCGCCCTGGGACTGGAGGAGGAACTGAGCAAAGAAGAGGGTGCCCGAGTCTAGCTCCGTAGTACACGCCACCAGGGCCGAGCCAGGGTGCATCGAAGGCCGCCCCGCCCTCCTCGCCACGCATCTGGGGCCAAACCACTACGCAACGAAGGCCAAGACCCCCCTCCAGGTCGCACCGGCAGGGCATGGAGTTCGATGACTTTGGCGTCTCGCAGGCATGATTAAAGAGCTTACTGGCCACTGCCAGCCGTCTTTGAGCCGTCTTGGAGCCTCTCGGAACCATGCTGGATATGCGGTCTTCGGGGTATTGCGGGCCGTTTGGGAGCCGTCTTGGGGGCCTCCTGGGCCATCTTGGAAATCTCTTTGGGCCGTACTGGGACCGTCTTGATACCATCTTGGGCCCTTTATTATAGCCAACGGATCACACGCTTTTGTCGGTTGGTTCCATCGCGTGGCTCCGGCCTCTTACCTGAAGCCTGGTAGCTGCCGTAGCAGCCACGCAGCCTTGAACTGCCACCAATAATTCGGCGGCAGCTGCTGCTTCTGCACCGCGTCCATCAGCACATGTTCAGATGCGACGTTGCGAAGCCAGCAAAATATCTCCGACAAGAATCCGGTTCGCCCCTCACGCGGATCGCCCCCCGCCCATTTCGGCACATTTCTCACACGGGTGGTTCCCCACAGGGAGCTGCACCTGCTGCGTCAGTGGGCGTGTTCCCGCGGGTGCATATTCGGCACACCCTTCACGCGGACCGTGACCACAACAAGAAACTCAGCGCGCCTGCGCACGCCCCCTATCCGCATTGCCCCGCGGCGCGCAGTATATGAAGAGAGGGCCGCGCCCTGCGCTACGCGTGACTGCAGAAGGTTGCGCCCTTCACCAGGCGATGTGTTTGCTTATCTACGGGCCTTCGGCTCATACTGCCACCGTGCCTGGGTTATGGGTCAGAGGCTTCTGGGATGCCCATTTGGGGTCTCTTGGCATGCTTCTCGGGCGCCTCTAGGAGCCACTTGTGAAGCCTCTGGGGGGCATCTTGGGAGCTGTTTGGGGCCTCTTGGGGCCTCTTTTGACCCTCTTTTGGGCCTCTTGGAGGCCTACTGGCGGTCTGGGGGTCGACTTGGGGCGGGGGGCTCGGAATATGAGGTGGAGTTCCCCCCCTTTGGCCCATCTCAGGCCGTCAAGGGCGCCTCTTGGACCGTCTTGGGGCTCTCTTGGGCCGTCTTGGGGCTCTCTTGGGGGCCTCTTGGACCGTCTGTGGACGATCTTGGGGGCCTCTTGGGCCGTCTTGGACGCTGTTGCACGCTGTAAAACCAAAGAAGCGAGTATGCTGAAAATGCAACAGTTTCCGAAGGGAATGGGGCAATTTTGGGCATCCGGGGCGCTCTGGGGGAGCATTTTTGAGCCTTCTTGGGGCGTATTGGGGGCCTCCTGGGGGCTCTTCGGCCATCTTGAGGCCATCTTGGGTCGTCTTGGGCGCTATTGCGCCGCTCTTGTCGCTGAGTCGTGCTCCCTGGAACTCTTTTGGTCGGCATGGGGGGGGGCCCAGGAAGCCCCAGGGAGGGGGGGGGGAGCCCAAAAGGCGGGGGGGGAAATCCGGCAGGGTGTCCAAGCCAGGACCCCGGGCCATCTTGGGCGTCTTCGGGGTCTGTTGAGGGTCTCTTGGCCATCTTTAGAGCCCGCGTGGCCTGTCTTGGGCGTCTCCGGGAATTCTCCCGGGGGCCCCGCGCGCGCACGAGGAGTCTAGGCAGCTGGCCGGGGGCCTCTCCGGGAACGCCCCCGATGGCCCGGAGCACTCATGGGGGGTTGGGGCACCGGGCCGGGGGCCCCCATCCCTGTAGCCGGGTGTGTATACATATATATATATATATATATATATGTAGATGTATATGTGTGTATGTATATTAATACACATACATACATACATACATACATACATACATACATACATACATACATACATACATGCATGCATGCATGCATGCATGCATGCATGCATGCATACATACATACATACATACATACATACATACATACATAGATCTATACATATATACATATACATATACATACATACATACATACATACATGCATGCATACATACATACATACATACATACATACGTACGTACGTACGTACGTACGTACGTACCTACTTACATACATACATACATGCATGCATACATGCATACAGATATGCATACATGCATGCATGCATGCATACATACATGCATGCATACAGACAGACAGAGAGACAGCCATACAGACATACAGACATACATACATACATACAGACTTGCATACATACATACATACATGCATACATGCATACATGCATACATGCATACATACATACACACACATACATACATGCATACATACATGCATACATGCAACATACTCTACATACATACGTGCATACATAGATGCATACATGCATGCATACATACATATATATATATATACAGACATACATACAAACATACATACATACATACAATCATTCATACATACATACATACCTTACATTACATTACAGCACATTACATTACATACATACATGCATACATACATACACACATACATGCACGCATGCATGCATACGTACGTACTTACGTACAATCATACATAGATATACACAAACATACATATATATATACATACATACATGCATGCATGCATGCATACATGCATAAATACATACATGCATGCATGCATGCATGCATGCATGCATACATGTATACATACATACATGCATACATACTGTCATACATATATAAACAACTGAACACGTGTGTATATACAAGTGGCACGTGTGTGCCCAGGCTCATACAAAAAACTGAAGGGGCGTTTGAAGCAGGAGTGAAATGCAACAGCGAAGTCGCACTCGAGCGCAAGTGGGGTTGCCACACCTTGCGATGTGCGTACCAAGGCCCCCCAGGAAGCCTCAGGAGACCCGACTTGGATACCAGAAGAGGCTCCAGGAGGCCCCAGGATTGTGAGTGTTGTGTGGGTGTGTGTGTGATGTGTGCTCTGTGTTGTGCGTGTTTTTTTGTGCGTTGTAGGTGTTGTGTGTGTGTTATGTTTGTCTAGCGTGTGATGTGTTGGGCGTGCTTTGTGACCCTGTGTGTGCATGTAGTTCTGAGCCCCCAGGAGGCCCCAGGAGGCCCCAGGCGGCCTCAGGAGGTCCCAGGAGACCCCAAGAGGCTTCAGGAGGCCCCAAGAGGCTCCAGGAGGCCGCAGGAGGCCCCAGGAGGCCCCAGGAGGTTTCAGGAGACCCCCCTGAGGCTCCGAGGCGGGGTCTGGGGTACCAGAAGGTTCAGAAAGCCCCAGGAGGCCCCAGGAGGTTCCAGGAGGCCCCCATGAGGCTCCGAGGCGGGGTCTGGGGTACCAGAGGGTACGTGGGGGCTCGATTTTGGGAGGATGTTTCAAGCGAAAACGCCATTCTCTGAGAATCGGGGTCAAAATGTGTTTGAAGGTGTTATGTTGAAATGTTGAAATTCCCATGTGGTTTTGGACCCTGACTTCACGATTTGCGTGAGGGGTGCCACTGATTTTCAGAATTTCGAAGATGTCCCTAACGAAACGGCCAGAAAAATCGTGAACGCCCCGCGTACGCATTAATCGCCTCTGAGCTCTACTCCCTCGGAGAGGTGCGTATGATTATATATATATATATATATATATATATATATATATAGATGGCTATTGTTGTTGTTCCTGGCGCTGGAGACTCCTATGCATCGAGCTCGAAAGATCCGAGGCACCGATATTCTCGAAACACGGGGCCCCCAGAAATCCCGACCCTTTCCTCCGGGCCGGCTTTTGATCGGAGGGCAACATTGGCGGGGAACCTACTGAGGGCGAGTCACATGTTACGGCTCTGTAGAACTTCGACGCATCGCAACTTGCTTAACAAGTGCGGGAGTCAACCCACCAAGGGTGGACTCACCCCTGTCTTTCATGGGAAGGAGAGGGGGTTCGAACTGCGCGTGAGTGGTTCACAACGAGCTAAGAACGCCAAAGGATCCCTTGTAGGAGCCTTCCCCATACCCTGGGCCCTGGGGAGCCCTTGCCACCCGTGTCTGCAGTAGATGTTGAACCACTACTGTAGCAGCCAGCATGCACACTACCTTAGTCTCCAATCGCATACGTAGACACTGGTTTGTCCTTTGTGCGTTCCTCCTGATCACTCCCTCCAAGCCCCTTCTCGTGCTAACACTAATCAGATCATCATATTGGTCATATCTGTCATCAGAATCATCATCACCACCATCATAATCATCATAATACTAATCATCATCAGCATCAGCATTAGCATCATCAGCATCATCAGCATCAGCATCATCATCATCAGCAGCAGCATCATCATCAGCAGCATCAACATACTGGTCAGATCCGTCATCATCACCATCACCACCCATGATC